AGTCGGATTTAATATAGCCCAATAAGGTAAGCTTGGCAGAGAACATGTTCAACTGATGTCGGTTTCAATTTCAACAATTGTTTTATACTGTTTTTTTTTTATCTAATTTACGTAAAAAATAAATATATACTGTTGCTGTAGTATTTGCTTAACCTTTATTAGGTTGATAAAAAATATACAACGTTTTTTGTAAACAAACAGATATTTGATGGTCAATAAAGCGTTAGAACTGTTTTTGAAATGCAAGTCCAATTGATTTTTTAGTTATTTAATTATAATTTCAAAGTGTAGTGGAATGATCTCTAAAGAGAAAGTTTAGATGGCAAAACTGGTTTTGCGTATAAAAATAAAACAATATACTTTACAAACTATAAAACAGTTTTTTCATGTGTTTATTTGATTTTTAAGCTTATACTTATTCAATGGTGAAATAACCTTGTTGAAAACTGTAAAAGTTGTAGAAAAATGTAAAATAAAGGAACCATAATTTTTTTCTTTTTCGAAAAATGTAACAAAATGATTGAAAATCAATAAAAATAAGTTTACTTGCTTGATCCGTGTTTCTTATCTATTATACTGCGTATTAGCGTTTCTGTAGAATAGGATGATTTACAACGTTGGTAGGCGACTATACCAATATAATAAAGACGACTTTTGATTTAAGGTTAGATTTATATCAAGCTATTAAACAGCATGGATAATCAAAAACATCATTTTTCAAAACAAAATTTTCTATTTTTTTCATTTTTCCGACATTTTTGCCATTTTTAAAATCTCATCAGCATCCGAGCCATATACTGTATTTGAAAAAGTGCAACCTCAAACTTCTTACTGAAAGGCTGTTCTTTTGGCTCCAGTACAAAAAGTAGAATTACAAAAAGTAGAATTACAAAAAGTAGAATTACAAAAGGTAGAATTAAAAAAGGTAGAATTATAAATGGTAGAATTACAAAATGTAGAATTACAAAAGGTAGAATTACAAAAGGTAGAACAATCAAAAGGTAGAACAATCAAAAGGTAGACATTCTAAAGGTAGACGTTCAAAAGGTAGAATTTTCCAATTAAAAAAAATGTTTTTTAAAAATGTACAAAAGTCAAAAAGTAATGTTTTTATCCTTCAAAGAAATTTAGTCTTTGTCACAACCTGAGATTCTCTATTTGCAACCCGATGTCGTATAGAGCTTAGTTTTCTCATACTTTGAATTCTACAACATAAATTGCCCGCTTAAATCATTACAGCATTAATAAATCAAAATATTGATATTACTAGGCTAATTGGGCGCTTCGTGCTCATCTTATATTTCAAATGTGAACATGTTCTCTATATGTACATTGTAAAAAAATACGCGGATCTCATAAAAAAATATGGATTTTCAAAATTTAAAAAAAAATTGCAAAGAGAAAATACTTTTAAGCACATTTTTTTAAAAATTTTGATCATTCATAAACCTTCCCTGGGGTCATGCGAGGGGCGGCAAAAAATTTGGTCCCGATTGGATCAGCAGTTTTGACGTTTATTGGATACAAACAGACACACAGACAAGCAAAGTATCACTCCTGTATGCCGAGTCCATTAATCCCTGATCCAATCAGGGTTCAGTCATGTGTTTGTTGTCTATTCTGAACAAATAGAAATAGTATGGCGGTAAGATCTATCTATCTATCTCATCATCCAATCAGAGAGATGAATCCTTCAATCGGCACTATCATTAAATGGAAATATTTACAATTCTATCTGATACTATAGTGATAGATTTAGTTTCTTACATTACAGATTTAACTTGTGATGCAGGAAATTGGTTATTTAAAATGCGGGAAATCAAATCAACTTTTGTTCTCTTATTTTTTAAATAAAATGGAAAAATAATTTAGCAGTTAATTTAGTCTTCATAAGATAATTTTTACTTTTAGTGATTTATTTTGTAAGTTATGAAAATGAGCTTTTTTCTGAAAAGTGGATTATGCTCAAAAACGGGAAACTGGGTTTTGTCTCGAAAACGCGACAATGATTCAAACTAAGGATAAGTTCAAAATGGAAAACCTGACACTGTCTTGAAAACGGTCAAGGGTTTTAATATAGAAAGAACTCCTTTTATAATTTTGATTTAAGAAAATAGTTTAAATTTGGAATCGTTGTCCTCGTCATGCTTAATAAAATAATGGTTATAGTTTTTATTATCGACTTTTACTCTCAATATGTACCGAGATCCCAAAAAACCCAATCTTTCAATTTGTGTCCATCTTAACTTTCTCAGTGTTAGAAATAGGCCAAGTATTAGTTTTGGAAGTGTTTGAAAGTAGCCAAGTGTTAGTTTTGGAAGTGTTAGAAAGATGCCAAGTGTTAGTTTTGGAAGTGTTAGAAAGGGGTAAAGTGTTAGTTTTGGAAGTGTAAGAAAGATGCCCAGTGTTAGTTTTGGAAGTGTTAGAAAGATGCCAAGTGTTAGTTTTGGAAGTGTTAGAAAGGGGTAAAGTGTTAGTTTTGGAAGTGTAAGAAAGATGCCCAGTGTTAGTTTTGGAAGTGTTAGAAAGATGCCAAGTGTTAGTTTTGGAAGTGTTAGAAAGTGCCCAAGTGTTAGTTTTAAAACTAATGTCCCCTGTAATGAAGAAAACTGAAAGGGATTGTAAACATAATTTCAATTTCCGTTTGTAGAACCTTTACAAGGTTGGAAAAGGACTAGCAACAAAACTACAGTATCGACTGTTCAATCTTAAGAAGGAAGGAACGAATCAAACCGTCTGCAAAAATTTTCTGAGCACTGAACATTTGTAATCTGACCGGCGACCTTTGATATTTGAATTTCAAACCATGATTTTTGTTAGATCAATGAGTTTTGTGAAATAACAGAGGTTTACTTTCTCAGGTCGCAGACATAGATATTAGAAAATTATAGTCGGATTTAATATAGCCCAATAAAAATTGATTTAAAAAAATTAAGAAATTTGAGGTCAATTATTCCTGCCATTTTTATTCCGGGAGGGGGTAATTCAACCCCTCCCCCCATCTCCTTTGAGATAATATTATTTATAAAAAGAACACTGGTCAACAAGATTTGTGACGTAAACAAGATAAAGAAAAGTATAAAATATCCGCGAAAATTTTGGCTGGCATTAGTTTGCAAACATGTTCTCTGCCAAGCTTACCCTTGTCCTTCTTCTGGCCTGTGTTGCCTTTTCTGAGGCAGCAAAATTCAAGTAAACTAATTTAAAATATAATCTTTTATTTCGATTTAAATTTTTGTTTTTGGAGATTCAAAGCAGCAGTCTCAAGTTAAACTTGAGATAGTCTTAAATATTCAGGTTTCAGGTCGTCTTTTCAATCTCATCCTTTGTGGGTAACCCTGTTTTCTGCAAGTCTACTGAACAGCTTGATAATTCTTCTTGAAAGCCGGCTCAGTACTTGAAATTATTAACATTGCACTGTATTTAGGAAGCTGACAGGTGTAAAACCGGTTCCCTATTGCAGTACAGTAGAAATGCTGGCTTGTGTTGGAGAAATAGAAAGTAAACAATTTATAAAATAACAACACGACAGGGTATTGATCAATTATTTATTATTTTTTCTTCTTTTTTCCGGAACTTAACTTAATCTAATGAAGACGACGTTAAAACAACTATTGGTGTGTATATGATGATATTGCAAGACTAATTTACTTAATTAGTCAAGTTAATTTAATAACTTAAGTTTAAAAGATGTCTTCCTATTCCAGATTGTTCTTGTTCTCACTGTATATCTGCAGTACACAGAATCCTATGACTTTTTCCTCAGAGGTTTTGTGAACGTATATGAAAAAAATGATTCTATTTTTCAGCTGCTTGGGGAGACTGCTTTGACGCTGGAGACATCTTTGGTTGTATTGAGGATATTCTTGGTGCATCTGACTGCCTGGCCTTATTTGTGATGTCCTGGGATTCCTGGGAATTGATATCTGCTAAATGGACGGAAAACTTAAAAAATTTAAAAATAAATTTTAGTGTAAAGAATTATTCATTTTCTTGATTTTAGTTTTGTTTTACTGACTTTGTGCGATATAGATAGGTTCAAGATTTTAATGTTTGGGGGACCTTAATATTTGTGTAGATTTTGATTTAAGACATTTTAAAAATGGAGTATATGAAGAAACTAAACAAAATAATGGTTCATCACAAAAATATTGATATCCACAAAACTACCTAACCCTATTGATGAAACCCGAGTTTAAAAAACTGGTTTTCATAACGATTCCCTGTCTTAAGTTTTGGGCTCAGAGCCCGAAATTTAAAAGAGTATTGTTGAACGAAACTCTCGAGTTTCCTTTTTGGGGTCTTAACATTTGTGTAGATTTTGATTTAAGTGGTTCTAAAAACTGGAGTATATGAAGAAACTAAATAAAATAATATTTTATAACAAAAATATTAATATCCACAAAACTGCCTAACCCTATTCGTGAAACCCGAGTTTAAAAACTGGTTTTCATAACGATACCCTGTCTTAAGTTTTGGGCTCAGGGGGTTTAGAATAAAGAGTTTGGTGCACTGCTTACTGCAGTGATTTGCAATTAGTACAAGGAGTAAAGACCAAAAAAATGTGGGTTTGGAGGACCGGAGGGCGGGAATCGGGATGGACAAGCATTTAATACCATATAATCTAAGCGTAAAAATTCATTAAAAGTCATAATAATAATATCAATGATTATGTTATAAAAATAATAACAATATAAATGATATTAATAATAATAATAGTAATAATAATAATCAACCAAATTCTTAATCTGAAGGACAAGGTGGTATAAAAAATTATTTGTACAGTATCTGATATTTTCATAATTACTAACAAAAACTCAAATTCAATTGTTGTACTTTGAATAAAAATATTTACTTAAACAATGATAACAATGTTTATTCTTGAAAAAATTAAATCAACTGCGAAGTAAAGGGACTGTTATAGGTTAAAAATTAAAAAGGGTAAATCCAAAGAGAATAGAATATATATTAGAGGGGAATTTACTAGAAAAAAGTGTAAAACGGCCATTTTGTTGTAGTGTTTCCATACTGCAGGTGTGCTTCACATATTTATGCTATATAAAATTAATGTTAAAAGAAAACCGACTTATGAAATAGGCTGGTTTCATAATTGACCAATGATCATTTCACATAGACTCTATGCCTTTCACTTTACAAACGATGATTTTCCGTTATANTACCTTGAGTATAATCTCGATAGTCTACATAATAAGAAAATTTTCTTTTGCTCATTTGAGAAAAGTTCATTGTCTATAGAACTTCTAAATTGAATGTTTGTTTTATTTTTTTTATAAAGATATATAGATAAGCTTTTCATGTCTTTTTATCTTGACTCTTCTACGCAACAAAAAAAGGTAAAACACGCTGAAATTTATTTGGGAGATTTAATGTGAAATTTGATAAATAAATAATATAATTGACAAAAAAACATATCATATTTTGATTCCTAATCAAGCATGTTGACAGTCATTTTTAAAGGTCGTCTTAAATTCTTTCAAAAGTTTATGAAAGAGCTTTTTCGGTGCTGCTAACTTTTACCATCAAAAGCAAATAGTTTATTGTCATTGGTTCAATTGTGGTCGGTGGAAATATACTTTAACTTAAACAGAGTCTAGACTAAAGTAGTGACACATCATTTTGTTTTCTCCATCATATAAAGAAATGTGAAGTTTGCCTTTGAAAATTTAAAATTCCTCTCCTATTTTTACTAGGACACCCTGTGTACAATCTGTATACTAGAATGTTAAAAACACCCTGTATGCAAAAGAGCTAAGATAATCAAGGCACTATCCAAGCCGGAAAGTATGGAAAGGCTAGTTCTCAAGAAAGATAAAAAACCGGAAATGAGAGTCTGATTATATACAATATACAATATACAATATACAATATACAATATACAATATACAATATACAATATACAATATA